ACGCATTTATTTTATGTATTCATAGTCATACTTCCGTACGTAATATAGTCATTTGACAGTACATGTCAGTCAAATTTATTGAGGCATGCTTATGTATGGTAGGGGTTACACTTATCTGTTGTACTGTATATTATTGCATCCTGGCAGTTCCTTTGTTCCCTACAATATGGACTTCTCTGTTTTTAATTCATTCATTTATTTTATTATTTAACTTATTTTCATTTTAAGGTATTTTAAATAATATCCTTTAAAAAGTTATAATAAAATGCATGTTGAAAACTCATAACATATATGCATGTAAGATAACAGGTGTCATTTGCCTAATGATTTTTAAATATTAAAGCAAAGAGACTTATAAGATTAATGTGCTTATAACGTGCTTATACTGACACCTACTGGCAAATGTCACAAGATCACTGACACTGGCATGTGTCACTGACATTACTGGCATGTCTAAAAAGAGCCACTTGACAATAATGATGATCAGGGTTACACATAGGCTGTTAATATATTTGGGCCCAGGGGCCCACAAGTTATGTGTTAAAAGTGCGTTGCATACATAGTACCCCCACCCCTACTCACCTCAGGGGCAAGGAAAAAAAGTTCAGGCTCAGGAATTTTTTCCACTATCAGCCCTGCACTCGGTGCAAACAAGTTTGCAAAGTTTGTTCGATACGAATAAAATACGAACTGAATAAACAAAGAGCACTGGTCGCTCACTTACCAAATCTGTAGAGACAGGACAATCCACAGCAACTAGAGCCGCGTCTTTATTAAGAGAAGACTACAAGCAAATCTGGATCTCAGCGTTTGCAGATGAGAACACCTCTTAGGTAAACAATGTGACTCCTTAGACACTTAAGTTATTGTTGTCGAGCGTCGCGTACACTGTTAATCCACACGTGAGTCTGAGCTCTCACAGAGAGAAAATGAAAACAAAACTTAACTGCAGCAAACTATAAAAGCAACACTTCACGCTTGTTTTGCCAACACAACGTGGCGTCTCTGTCATCTAAACACTGTGACAGTAATGAATATTAATGTTGCACACGCAACAATGATTAAAGTTGCACAATAGAGCGCGCTGATTGGTTTGAATCAAGCTTTACTCATGCATTAATGCAGCAGGCTGTAAGACGTAGTAAGACACACTCTGGCACAGACATCCAGTCTGCATGCTGGAATACAACGATATTATGTCATGACCGTGACGCAGCTTCAAAAATTCGTTTCAAACTGGAAGTACGAATTTGCTTGAAATAACGCAAAAACAACCAATTTACACTTTTTAGTGAAATATAGGTGTCCTAATAGTGTTTTTAGCAGTGTGGGACACATATATGACTGTCAACAGCTCAAAAAATGTGTTTTGGTGTTTCGTGACCCTTTAAATTAGATACATGTAATCTTAATAAATTAGAATAAAGGGTCATTTGTTTAATCTGTGCATCAGTATAGTTGATCAATTGAGGAAGGTTTGTGTTACATTAGCAACTACTCCAACATGTTACTTGAGCAAGTGAATCACAGAGGTGATTTATTCTAGTCTCTGTTACAGGGAGGCTTTTATTGAGTACAGTACAGAAATAAAAAAAAACATTTTAAATTTGCTATTTATTGTTAGTTATTGTGTTTTCAAACAGTGTTTACATCAGCTTTCTGATTGCTGGTGTTTGTGTGCTTTTTCTGCAGAGCTGAATCAATGACATCCTGAAAGCAGCAGTACAGTTAAGGTACGTTTTCATTGCTTCTTTTTATAAAACCACTTATAGTTGTACAGTTTGATGTTAGTTTAAATATAACTATGTTAGTGATCAGTATTCATAGCTACACTGTTAAAAATTGTCCCGTTAAAAAACAGTAAAATACTGGCAGCTGCAGTTGCCAGCAATGTACTGTTATTTTACAGTATGTTGCTGTAAAAATACATGGACTACATTGATTTACACAATTCTCAAGTGAACTCATTTTGCTCACTGAAAGCAACTGCCTCAACTTGGTCAACTGCTGAATGAGTTTATGAAGTAATGTGCTATATATGCTTGAAGCATACTTATAATGATAACTTATTTTAGTTAATTAGAAAAGTTTGGTTTAACTCTAATGTCTTATTTTTCACAACAGCACACATACATGTAAATCTGGAATCACCAGAGAGATTCTGACTGCATCAGCAACTAAACAGCTGATGTTTTTAAATAGAGAAACATGCAGAATAACATCAGCAGCTCATTGTTCATCTTTAACTCATACACTGGCTCTACTCTCCTCCACAACGGTGACAGACAGAAGAAATTAGCTTCAGGTTTTACAGTAAAATACTGTTTTTTCCTTGATTTAACGGTAATCTACTGGCAGCTGTGGTTGCCAGCAATCTACTGTTTTTTTACAGTCTATTTCCGTAGTGTAAATTAACAGTATATTACTGTTAAAATACATTTTACACTGTGTTTTTACCTCTCACACCTTTAACCCTTTAAACACCAGAGCATATACTTCAGTTTTAATTGAAGTGTCCACACTACTGAGTGTTCAAGAAACATGGAGCAAAGCTGAAGTAAATTCATTAATTAACTGACTAATTAAATGATAATTGAGGATTAACAATGAACAAATGAAGAAATACTGAAGGGAAAAAACAAGAACAGAACATACAAAACTTTAGTCACAGCTTTATAATGAAATAACCTGAAGAACAACAAATGATTAAATCATTTAAATGATCAGCGGATGAATAAACAACTCTACAAACATCATCACCAGCTACACTTATTACTTAATACATGCATTTTTGTATAACATTTACTAAAGTTCTTCTTGAGAAAAAGTTAAAGTTTTACGTCACCGTCATGGAGAACAGAGTTTGCTTTAGTTGGGCTCTTAGCCCTGTCATTTTGAACATTTATATATCTTGGCTGCTGCAATTGTTAAGAACTTTGTTTAAAAAGCTCTTTTGTTGTGGCAAGCCAGCCAAAAACCTAAATAAGATCTGGTGATGTTCATGTTGCTATTAAATGGCAGAGTCTGTTCTCATTTAGTATAATAAAATTTACTGCTCCTATTCAATGTTAAATCTATTGTTTTACATTATATGTCTATATATGGCAATGATTTCTGGAAGTTTTTAAGAATCTCTTGGACAATAACACTGCTCTATGGTGTCAATCGCACTCAAAGAGACATCAATAATCAGCATATGAACCTCAATAATGGTGACAACAAATTTAACTAAATTAACAGTTTAACTCACCAACTGAAAGTCTAAACATAAACAACAGCAGAATCAAACACAAATAAAGAAAACTGTTAGACCATTATACAACATTTATTTATACCGCAATGCATGCTGGGATATTTGTATTGTGCCACTCCCAGCATGCATTGCAGCATGAAACATTTGAGATGTTACCATTGTTGAGATACAAGGTCAGATTCATGAGGTCTGAGTGTGTATTTGTCATAACTGAACTGTTTTTGTATGTTATTTCTTAACTGTTAAGTAATTACGGAGGTATCTTTTCTGTTTCCACTTCTCATTAATTAAATTAATATCTGCAACTAAGCATAAAATCTATTGCATGAGGCCCTTCTTCCAGATTTATAATAAAACATTTATCAGAACAAATTTCAGACAAATAGATTTCTCTATTTATTGACTTCCCAACTGTATTGCTATAGTACAAACGTTTTGTAAACTCTGTATTACAGCAGTTGAAAAGTCTTATTAAATGAGTTCAAGGGTGAAGAGCCCAACTAAACCAGCCCCTCACTCCATTACGGTGACACAAAAAACACCTTAATTTCTGTTGGATCTCAATGAGAATAGTATGGAAGTCAAATCAGTCAGTAATAAGTGTGTCTGCTGTTGTTTGTGGAGTTGTTTAATGATCCTCTGCTGAGACTGAAGCTGTTTTATTTTATTTGATTTTATTTAATGTTGTAACTCAAGTCACTGTTTGTGTTTCTTGTTTATTTTCTTCAGTAATTGTAATTATTAACAGCAGGTGTTCATCAGTGTCTGAATTCACTCATTAGTGTTCATTAAAACTGTCAGGTGAACTATATTAGTTAACTAGTGTATGGAATAGTGAACAAGGACACAAAGCGTGATTTCAAACACAGACTTCAAAACATCGAATCTGAACTCTGTTAGCTCACAGTTTTCTGCAGTTGGTTACTTTCTCAAAAACAAAAATGTTACCCAGAAAGCACTGTTTTTAACAGAATATTACTGTTTTAGTGAAAAAACATTATTTTACTGTAGAATCTGACCGTTTTTTAACAGCAATTTTTTACAGTGTAGGATAACAATTCTTGTTTTACAAAATGTAACGTGGCTAGCTTGCCCTAATGTCAAGTTTGCTATTCCGTCTTATCACATAATACGATTAAACTATTTAATTCATAGGCTATATTTATTTTAGAAAAAAGGCAGACCAGGGTGCTTCCAATGCATTGAGGTGAAGTTGGTTTTATAGTTGCACATTCTGACCTTTTCCTTAATAATATAATTTCAGAAAAAGATTTTCAAATTCTATATAGGGAAATCATATTAGCAGCCAATGACTATCAAAATACAGCACTGTCCACAGTCAATTAAATATTAGTGCTAATGTTGTTTAAAGTCAATCAGACCAAATATTTAAAGTACCATGGTAAACAATATAGGGACCATTAAAATGTTTAAATGTGCAAATATAAAACCAACTTTACCTTAATAACTAATGCTACCCTGTTTTATGATTCATTTTACACTCCAAAAAAATGTATGTTTACTTAACATTTTAGCCAAGTATGCATTGCTAGTAATGATAAATGTGGACAATTAACTAAGTAAATCTACTTGAAGTCACTAGACAATGCATCTTATTTTCTTACATTTCTCTTAAACAATGGAAAGGCATACAATATTTAAAGTATTATCATTATTTATTGAAAACAAACAGAAACATAATTATATTATTAAAAGAATGAATATGAGTAATCATGACAAATAAATTCAAGTCAACAACACATGAAACCAAGCTTTATTCTAACAGAGATGTATTACAGACAGAAGCCCATGTTTTGCTGTATCTCCACACAGCTGGGCCAGTTCTGCAGATGATCAGAGGGACTTCGCCATCATCACATCCCTCACTGCTGCAGTCAGACTGAAAAAGAACGGTGATGCATGGCAGTCCATGCCCGAGATACTGATGATGAAGAGACCACAGCAACATTTGGTCCAGATGAGGACACAAGGGCAGATGGACTGATGCAGGGTATTGTTCAATTCACTACAGGAGAACAGGAGTGGCCAAACTCAGTCCAGAACTGCTGCTGTCTTGCAGAGTTTAGTTGAAGTTGACTCTAAACTCTACAGGACACCAGCCGTCCAGAACTGAGTTTGGGCACCCCTGCATTACAGCATTTCCAGGATGCTGCTGTGGACTTCTTTACCCTCACCACACACACCAATCTGCAGATATTTCAGATCATACAAAACATAAAAAACATTTAAAAAACAAAGTCATTTTACTGCACAATGTGACATTTGATTTATGTAGTGTTAGTAATAAAATTATCCTACCTCTTATTTTGGATTCTTTTTTCCTCAAATATGTTAGTTCCCTTGTCTACAGGTCAAGCTCCATCACAACAGCTCTGCAGAAAAAGCACACACAAACACCAGCAATCAGAAAGCTGATGTAATCACTGTTTGACAATAAAATAATAATAAAAACTAATAATAAATAGCAAATGTAAAAGATGCTTTCTTAATTTCTGTACTGTACTCAATAAAAGCCTCCCTGTAACGTTGAGACTAGAATAAATCACCTCTGTGATCAGGCCCGGCTCCAGCTTGGAACTTTAGGGTGGGCCAAGTGACATTTTGGGTGGGCCAACAAAAATAAACAAATGATATATATATTTATATATACAATTATTTTAAAGGTAATAAAATAATTTATAGTATTCTCTGTCATTTTAATAAAGCAAACTAACTTTTATTTTAAAACTATTATTTGAACTGCAGATTATATTTATGTCAGTGTTTGCTTGCTTAAGTATGGAAGCCCGTTCCCGCCACTGAATGAAAAAAAAAAAAAAAAAAATTATAAAAAAAAAATATAATAATATAAAAAAATTTTAAAAAGTCAGAATTCTGAGTTATTAAGTCACAATTCCGAGTTATTAAGTCAGAATTCTGAGTTATTAAGTCAGAATTCTGAGTTATAAAGTCGCAGTTCTGAGTTATTAAGTCACAATTCTGAGTTATTAAGTCGCAATTCTGAGTTATACAGTCACAATTCTGAGTTATTAAGTCAGAAATCCGAGTTATAAAGTCAGAATTCCGAGTTATTAAGTCAGAATTCTGTGTTATAAAGTCAGAATTCCGAGTTATTAAGTCAGAATTCTGAGTTATAAAGTCAGAATTCTGAGTTATTAAGTCGCAATTCCGAGATATTAAGTCAGAATTCCGAGTTATAAAGTCAGAATTCTGAGTTATAAAGTCGCAGTTCTGAGTTATTAAGTCAGAATTCTGAGTTATTAAGTCGCAATTCCGAGTTATTAAGTCAGAATTCCGAGTTATAAAGTCAGAATTCTGAGTTATAAAGTCACAATTCTGAGTTCAGTTGTGGCGGAGACGCAATAAAACAGACGAGGCCGACGTGGCACGTTTTATAAACCAACAGCTACAGACATCGGGACGACAACATGGATATAAAGTCACAGTTCTGAGTTATAAAGTCACAATTCTGAGTTATTAAGTCAGAAATCCGAGTTATAAAGTCAGAATTCCGAGTTATTAAGTCAGAATTCTGAGTTATAAAGTCAGAATTCCGAGTTATTAAGTCAGAATTCTGAGTTATAAAGTCAGAATTCTGAGTTATTAAGTCGCAATTCCGAGATATTAAGTCAGAATTCCGAGTTATAAAGTCAGAATTCTGAGTTATAAAGTCGCAGTTCTGAGTTATTAAGTCAGAATTCTGAGTTATAAAGTCAGAATTCTGAGTTATTAAGTCGCAATTCCGAGTTATTAAGTCAGAATTCCTAGTTATAAAGTCAGAATTCTGAGTTATAAAGTCACAATTCTGAGTTCAGTTGTGGCGGAGACGCAATAAAACAGACGAGGCCGACGTGGCACGTTTTATAAACCAACAGCTACAGACATCGGGACGACAACATGGATATCGTTGGATGCACCAGAAATGTTGGCTGTCTGGCATTATTACAGAGAAGCTGTCCGTCATTTGATGCGGCTGTTAGATGGACAGGGAGTTGACCGGCGCGCTCACGGTCGTCTGCGGCGACGCATGTATAACAGCCGCGGACCAAACTATGTTTGGCATATTGACGGATACGACAAGTTGAAACCTTACGGAATATGCATAAACGGATGCATTGATGGGTTTTCCAGAAAAATGATCTGGCTTGAAGCATACAAAACGAACAATGACCCACGAGTAATTGCGGGTTATTTCATACAAGCTGTTGCTGAGAATAACGGATTTCCACATAGAATTCGCATTGACCATGGAACTGAAAATACGCATTTAGCAGATATGCAGACATTCTTCAGAGGCACTGCTTGTGCCGAATCTGTTACTCTTGGTCCAAGCACGGGGAACCAGAGAATTGAACGATGGTGGTCCACTTTGAGAAGTCAGTGCATACAATTTTGGATGGATCATTTTGAACAGCTAAAAGAAGATGGGCACTTTGTTGATAGTTTCATTGATAAATCTCTCATCCAGTTTTGTTTTCAGCATTCTATACAGGTAACATTTGGTTTACTGTAGTTTATTTAATCATAAAAACAATATTGCCGTTAAAGATTAACTTAATATTTACATAGCCTACAATATGCAGTTTACAGTGTGTTTATTAATTTAATTTTGTTGCTTTTTTTTTTATAAAGGAAAAGCTTGATGAAATAGTCAGTGCCTGGAATTGCCACAGGATACGGCCAACTCACAATCCACGTGCTCCCAGTGGTCGACCTTCAATAATGTTTGCTGTTCCCAGCTTATATGGAGTGCAGAATTTCTTGCATCCAATTGAACAAACAAAGCTGAGTATTTGCAAAGAGGAGTGTTTAGTTAAAGACTACCCTTGTGATGAGGATGTCTTTCAACTGTGCGTAGAACTGATGGATGAACATAACCTTGCATTGTCAGATGATGTTTATGAAATTACAGACCTTTACCTTAAGCTTCCTGAACTAATCCTTGAAGGACTGGACTTGGGTGACTAGATGCACCATTGAGATCTTATCTGCAACTTTCACTAGAAGGTAAAGGTATTGTACACACACACACACACACACACACAATATTATGTCTGAGCATTATTTGAAACACTTCTATTGTGCTTTTTTCATGCAAGTCTCAAAAGAACTCTTTGAGGTTAAAATCTCTGCAATTCCCACTTTACTTTCACTGTGCTGTGTCTGTCTATCAAGATAACAGGTGAGCAGGAGTTATATTTCACTTTATTATTATTTGGCTTTAAACATGAATATGTTAATGAATTTTGTTACCATTATTCCCCAGACTCAAAAAGTCATTACATCTTTAATTATGTAACTGATAACAAGCCAGTTGTCTAAATGCCATATTGTATAATTTAAGGGCATAATATTTAAATTGGGATTGCCACTGACATGTCATATTTTTATATGAAAAAAAATCTATAAACAAAACATTAACACAATGCCATTATTGATACAACTGGAATTGTATTTTTTATGCATCACATTTGTTTTACAACTTAGCTGCATTTAACAGACATGTCAAATAACATTGCTTTTTTCATGTACTGGGGCACATAAACAGCATGCAAAATGCTCACAGCAAACAAAGAATAATTTAAAAACATGAATTCTTCGTTACTAATGAATGAGTAAATGAATGAATGACACATCTGATGTATCTTCTGTGCCACTGTGGCAATCGAAGGATGGATTTTATTGATGCTGATTGCATTTGATTAGTAACAGCCCTGTCTTCTAGGGTTATGGGATTAATGTACCTTTACTCTACATACTATAATGGAACAACTGTTACATCCCATCATTTTCATACACGCTTCAGGATCCCTTGTCTGTCAGACACAGTGCTCAAGGTACAGTAAATAACCTGTAATATAATTCTTTGTTTATGATGATACACAATCAAAGTGATGTTGCTTTGTGTTTTCAGAAGGAATGAATAATTTGTTCCAGACCATCCCATCCTTATGTGCAAAAGAAGGCCAGCAAACTTAGGTAGATGAGATAAGAATAAAAGTGCATAAAGATGCACTTCACACAAAAAAAAAAAAAACTTTTTTTATGACTACTTTTTTAAATGACATCTTTCCCAACTACAGCAATGCACATTTTTGCATGATTTTGAACACTTTTGTGATGCTCTATTAATACTTTTAGACCTAACCTGAATGCAATAGAAACAGGAAGTGAGTTTTAGAAGTCTTTTGTTACTCAAAAGTAAAATAATTTCGTTTAAACTGTAAAGCAATAATACTGAAACTTTTCAAAATGTATAGAATTTTCATTTGTTTCACCTTAGGAATATAAAGGGGAGGTATATTTAAAATATAAACTAAAGGGTTTAAATGGTAAACTGTCTGTATTTTGTGTTATACCTGAAATAAAGAACTGAATTTGTAATGGTATTTTTATTATTAAATATTCAACTTTGTAGTAGTACATTTTTGCTTCAAACAAATGCTCGAACAGTATTCCCAATGTTTTTCCTATACATGCTTAACGCACCTGTAATCATTTTAACATGGTACACCGGCTGTCAGTTTTTGTGCACCACTACAGAGCTTTAAGTGAAATTGATTTTAAAAGTTCAATTTTTTTTTGACTTTGATGTGCAATTTATTTGTTGGCCAATAAAAAATGCAATGCTGAAATGCAAACAATTTATATGGGCTGAATATAAACAAAAAAGTAAATTTAGTTATGTTTTACTTAATTTGTTTGTTTAAATTCAGCCTAAACAATTTGTTTGCAACCACTTTTTGTAAATCCAATAAATCATTTTTTCAGTGTAGTAGCCTACTCACTCCATCTTGAATTCTCAAAAAAACATGGCACAATATATGGAGGTTGTGTTGTTTAATGTATGAGTACTTAACATTACAATGTGGTACAAGAAAAAATAAAACAAACCACATTAAAACTATTTCAATAAAACAATGTTATAAAATTGTTATGTATTGTTGCAATAATGCAACACCCAACTGTATAGAAACACAAACCTAAAAGGATAGTTCACCCAAAAATGAACTTTTCAATTTCCTCACTCCTTACTTGTTTCTTTCTTCTGTTGAACACAAAAGAAGATTGTTTGAAGAAAGCTGAAAACCTGTAACCACTGACTTTCATAGTATTTGTATTTTCTTTTATGGAAGTCAATGGATACAGGTTTGTCTTCTTTTGTGTTCAACCAAAGAAATAAATCCATAGAGGCTTGTAAACACTTGAGGAGTGAGTAAAAAATGAGTACATTTTTAATTTTTTTGTGAACTATCTCTTTAGGAACACATTATAATCATTCAGACATTTATGTCAGGGTAGATGCAACTTGTACAATTAAATGTAAACAGTTGTTTGTAACTATGAAGAAAACTTTCACTATTTAGGGGCAACATTCAATGAATAATTAAAGTAATTGTTTTCTTTTATGAACTTGTCAAATAATGGTACAGCGTGTACATGTATGAAAAAGGAACCATTAAAACATTTGGACAGTTCCAAGCCTATTTGACTGAACAGTTGAAATTAACAATTTAACGCAAACATTTGGTTGGACAAATTTTTTTTAATAAAATCTCAATCATCAAAAAAAAAAAAAAACTCAATTATCAAAAATAATAAAGGTTTGTCTGCATTCAATGTAACCAGCAATATGTAAGTGCAAAATTAAAGGAAATGATTTACTTTCTGTATACAGTGTGAATTAACTGTATGAAGTGTAATAAGAATGACAGAAAACAATAGCTTGCAAAGGAGCTGGCCACAACTCAGTTCCGACTAAATCAACTGAACTATGTCCATGACCCAGATGTTGCTTTCAAGGACTTTGTTCATTTCAGATCTGAAATCAGGGTAGTTGTCATAGTGCACTGAAAGCCTCAGAAAACAGCCACATGTGTGCGCCACGGGTCTTCTCTCAAACCATTTAAGGTCTGTGAAATCAACTGTTATAGCTTTGCCTATAAACAAATCTGATCCAGTACAGAATCGAAGAAACAGAGACTGCCGTTTTGCATCACACTCCCTCAAGTAAGATGTCAAGTGCTTTGAAATGTCCTTTTGCTGTACATTCATTGTTTCAGGAAATTTGAGAGATTGCACAATTTTCCTCACTGTTGGTTGTAATGCACAGTACACATCTTCAATTTCCTCAAGGTCCTTTCTCAGAGTTCCAAGTATGCATGCCCACTGTTCAAGAACATAAGCAGGCTCTTGAATGAGAGTTTTGTGAGCCAGTTTTTCCAAAATTTGCTTGAAGTTTTCATTTGTTGGAATTCTTCGACAACTGTAGTTGTCTAAGGTCTCAAGCAATTCCTCCTGGTCTGCACTACAGAAGTCTTTTCTGCAGCTTTCTAACAAAGCACACTCGTTTTCTGAGACATACTTCAAAAAGTTCTCAATCAGATCACTTTTCAAAGATCCCTGCTGGAGGATGACAGGTGCAAGTTTTATTGGGAGATATTTTTTTTTCTTTCTTCCAGCCGAACAAAATTATTCGGGCCACACTTTCTCACTTTTCTTTGCCAAAGTCATGTCGAAGAAAGGGAACTTTAAAATTGTTCCCCAATGTGCACTGATCATAAAATTCCTGCCAGAACTCTGATAGGCAATCCCTAAACACTCCACCAACATCATGACACATCTCAAACTGTCCATTTGGGAGCAGCAGCTTCACTTCTACTTCACTCTGTGTATGAATAAGGGTTTCATCACAGAAATGGGCAATGAGCTCAGAAAATATTTGTCCACGATGAACAACAAGGATTTTTTTCTGTGGAGCAATGGGTTCTGGGCTCAGCGGCAAAGTGTCATCTAAGTTTTGTTCATCTATTCCAATAGCCGCGTTTCCACTATCGCGCCTAAAGCGAGCCAAGGCCAGTGGCGTTTCCACTGTACCTTCCGGGGCCTAATCGGGCCAAAGCGGGGCTTTCTTGGGGCCAGCGGCCGGCCTTTTTCGGCCCGCCGAATACCTTGGGCCAAAGAGGGCCAGCCGGGGCGGAGTGAAAGGAGAGGCGGGCACAGTTTTCTAATCGCACTCGAGTACATGCGCCAAACACATAAACAAACAAATAAATAAGAGAAAGAAAACATCTGGAACAAATTATAGGCTGGGGTCTTTTTTGTATATGATCGCCCTTATGTTTCTCTTTTAAATGTAAGGCTGTTGCATAAAATGATAGTTTTAATAAGTGACTTTTCTTTGCTGCGTCTCTTTGATGTTTCAATAACGCATAATAATCTTTACACCATATTAAAGACACATCAGACAGTAAAGGTTTTCAAGAGGTTTTGTCAAGTTTAATAAGTGATTTTGCGCGTTTAGATGCCTGTGTATGTGTGTGAGACCGAGGAAAAGAGCGCTCCATTCATAGCTCTGTTGATGCGGCGAGTGGCTTTTTTCTTTTATTTTTTTATTGTTTTAATTTATTTCGGAGATAATACATATGAATACAACAGAAAGGCATTAAACTTTACAAATTTCATGTCCACTTTTGTAGGCTCAAAACAACAGTGTCATATCTAGATAAAATAGCCCTATATTGAAATTATTTAAAGAATTACAAATATCAGATATAATAAAATCACATTAAATAAATAAACCAATATAAAACTAACAAAAGCTATAGCTATAACAATTAGGTACTATATCAAACTGTTTCAAATTTTATTAAACTTTCATTTTTCAAATGCCTCTTTGAAAAAAAGATTTTAGATATTTTCTAAAAAATAAATAAATAAATAAACATCGGAGAATGTTTTAAATATTATTTATAAAGTATTTGGATACGATGAAATTAATCAAATCATGCAAACAGAGCATTTTCGGGGTGAGTGAAAGCAGAAATAGGCGACCTTTTTTTCTGTCTTCCAGCTGCGCAGCACTTTTTTGACGGGGAAAACTGCAAGTTCAAAATGTGTTTTGTGTCCTCAAACAAGTGTGTATGTTTTATATGACGTGGTAAAATTAAAAAAGGAAATTGTAAATACATGAAGAGCTTTATTAGTGCATAGCTGCTGAGCGCAACAAAATATAGGCTATATTTTATTACGTGCTGCTCTTATGTGCTGAAACACTGAACACTTTCCTTTACTTAAGATATAATAAGCAACATCTTTAAATAAAGGGAATCACCTATGAAGAGTAATAAAGCCTATAGGGGAAAAAAACTCATGTTTCAGTTCTCTCCGGAGCATTTGGGATGAATGTTGGACAGCATCTGTTTATGAGGATGTTATAAAATACATTTTATATCGAGTTATTAACGGAGAATTTTATAGGGTATATGTGGTGTTATATTATGGATCTATGCGCTCCCTGCGCTGGGTTCCTCCATTGGTGGCAAGGCCACTGGATTTCGATGCCAATAGTCGGTCGGCAAGTAAATGAATATGATGAATGAAAACACACAGGAATGTGCGTATAGACATGCGTTGTACTGCTGTACAGTAACGTGTGATTTGTTTGTTTTGGTTGTCCTAATTTTTATAGTTTTGTGATGATGTGATGTGGTGTGCTTTATCTGCATGATTCTCGCTGAAGTGGGCGGTTTGAGTGACGTTCGATTCTGGGGATGTTCTGGGGGCGGGGTTTGCTGATGCGCTGCAAGCTACTAGCCCCACAGTGGAAACGCGACATGATTTCAGCCTCACTGCTCAACCTCCCGGGCGATTGGCCCGGCCTGGCCCGATATAAGCCCTGGCTCGCACTGGCCTGATAGTGGAAATGCGGCTATTGATGTCACCAGTGAGTACTGTCTCTACATTGCTTGAATCTAAGTAATCTGGCAAGGTCACTAAAGAACTTTGAAAAGATACATTCAGTTCATCATCTGCAATATGATCCTCTGTGGAATGAAAGGGAGATGCAGTGTCATTAACCGGACTATCAACATAAATTACATCCATCTCTGAAGGAAAGAAGTCATTCATCCCACTGGAAGTAGAGGGAAAGCTTTGATCCTGGTAATTACTGTGAAAGTTCTCCATTTGATCTGACATATCCTCTTTACTTTCTGTTTCCACTTCCCTCTCCACCTTTTTTGTTGTCAAGTAGAACCTCATCATTGTGAGTTTGGATGCATTATACATTTCCCCCACTGTAGATTCTGCATCTAGTGACACTTCCTGATAATTTGTTAGATCCAATTGTTAGATTGTTGGTGTAAGGGTTTCACTATTTATATTTAAATGGCACTCTGACTTCTTGTACTTTGTACTTCCTTATAATACAGTAAACTTGCTATATTTAATGTTTTCATAAGAAATCCAAAATAAAGACATTGCAACATCTAAGGAGCTGATACAGTAACTGAGCTAAATGAGTTAAACTCTGCTACCATATTTCATTTCATATTTCTGCCATTACATACATTTTGGTACTTTGTTTTTCAATAAATGTATTAAATTTCTGTAATATTCCCCAATGGTGTAGTACTGTTTTCTTTAAGTATGCCTCTTAGTAACTATGAATGGTTTAAAAAAGAATGTAAAATATGGTCATGCAAAATATGGCATTAATATATGTTTTTTGAGTACCAATAAGCGGCCAGTCTGCTAGTATTATGCATGTCAACAAGCAACTGGTTAATATTAAGATTCAGTCACTAAACTGAAGTATAATTGAAAGTGTTTAGGTAAACACTGGAGCTTTGCCAAAGTGTTCAGC